TGTTATCTATGTTATCTATGTTATCTATGTTATCTATGTTATCTATGTTATCTATGTTATCTATGTTATCTATGTTATCTATGTTATCTATCTTATCTATCTTATCTATCTTATCTATCTTAGCTATCTTATCTATCTAATCTATCTAATCTAATCTATCTAATCTATCTAATCTATCTAATCTATCTAATCTATCTAATCTATCTAATCTATCTAATCTATCTAATCTAAACTATCTAAACTATCTAATCTATCTAATCTATCTAATCTATCTAATCTATCTAATCTATCTAATCTATCTAATCTATCTAATCTATCTAATCTATCTAATCTATCTAATCTATCTATCTATCTATCTATAAATGATGTGAAATCCCAAGTTGTGCTGGTAAAACCTAAGTTTTAACATTTTAATTTGGGGATTCCCTCTGGCCATCAAACATGGCAATGCACTCGGACCCAGATGGGAAATTAATTCATTATCGTGGCCGTATCTATAACTACATATGGATATATATATATACTATGTATATATATATACATTATAGTATATAATAGTATAATTTTATTTAACCTTTATATTCCAGTCTTATCCCTCGTAGTTCTTGCGGATACACCCAAAAGTATCGAAAGCGTTTTAAACCACGCCATGCGCCATGCGCTTGCCATGCGCCTGGCTCCTCTTGCAAGCGCCCATCGAACATGGCCGCGCTGCGATGACCGTGGCCGCGCCCTTCGGGGAGGCAGCACAGTGGGCGGCCAAGAGCGTGCCGGAGGCCAGTGGTGAACGGAGGGAGTGAACTGAGCTTGGGAATCCAATCTTCCCTAGTATATAGATGGAAAAGCCAGAAAACTACGAATTGAGCTTCCCAATAATTAACATAAGAATTAGTCATTTTTCAAAATGTTAAGGAGTTTGGAGACATGGGGGGTTGGTCAACATTACTGAGAGTTTCCTAACCACATGATTGTTTTGGAGGGTTGAAACCTTTTTGAAAACCATTAAGTTTTGGGGGATCAATGCTGGGATATATATATATATATGTGTGTGTGTCTGTGTGTATGTATGTATATATATGCGCATGTATATATATATATATATATATGTATGTAAATATATATATGTATATATATATTTATGCATATGACATAGGTAAACCACAAACGGGCCATGTTCCACAGTTATATCACCAGAGGGTACCAACTTTTTGGAATCAACCACTCCAAAACCGCGAAGCATTCTTATGTTATGGTAGATGAGTATTGTATACTTATGTTTTTGTTTCAAACGTTTGAGTTTGAGTATTCTAAATAGGTTTCCGGTTATCTTTGTTTATTGAGTAGAATTAGATAATTTAGATATAATTTTGAATTTTTTCCGTTTGTCCGTTAGAATGCAGACATACGGAACTGTCATGTTTGGGTGAACATTAACTATTTTGGCCCTGTGGTGATTTCAGCACCTTAGATCCAAACCAGGTTTGAGTTGGTTGACATCTTCTTGGAAGATGTTCCATATGTTTCATTTCATCTCCGCATACTTTTTCTTGGCCAATATGATTTTCTCTATTTTTCGAATGTGTACCACGATTTTAGATTATATATTAGTATATATTAGTCTCATTTTCCTGCCTTTGGTACTATTGCTGGTGATCTCCGGGGTGTACTTTTCATGTTAGATTCACTAAGGTTGTGAAATGCCATTAAGCCTACTTCTAAAGATTAAAAACCAACAAAAAAACGAAAACCAATCCAAAAAAAACAGCAAAACCCAATCCAAACCTCAATTAGAAAAAAAAACAAAAAAACAAAACAAAAGCAAAAAAAAACGAAACCCAATCCAAACCTCAATAGTGTGCTTTTCTTTCCTTTTGGTTTTGTTTTTTTTCTTTTTTTCTAATTGAGGTTTGGATTGGGTTTTGCTTTTGTTTTTTGCTTTTGTTTTGTTTTTTTTTGTTGTTTTTTTCTAATTGAGGTTTGGATCGTTTTTTTTTGTTTTTTTTTTCTATTTGAGGTTTGGATCGGGTTTTGTTTTTTTTGTTTTTTTTTCCTATTTGAGGTTTGGGTTGGGTTTTGTGTTTTTTTTGGATTTGGTTTTGATTTTTTTTTAGTTTATTTTATGTTTCTATTGTTTTATAGAAGTTGCCTGTAAGCCGTGTCACAACACTCACAACACTAAGGCGAGGATTGTAGAGTCAACCGATGTCGTTTCAAATATGATGTGACTAACGAATGATTGGGGCCAGAGTATAACACTTCAATATTTGGGATAGCCAGAATTTAGATGTAAGTGGGATGTTTTTGTTTCGAATATGTTCACGAACATAGTGATGTTCCTCAACAAAACGGTTCTTGGCATGTTTTAATATTTTTCCTTGGAACATCAAATCAGTGATATGACGTGTCAACCCTGGAGTAGGTTGAACAAAAATAGAGGTTTACCTGCAAATAGTGACCATGTAGTGACCATCCGCTTCTGAAATGGTACCCCCCTCAATGATCAACAGCCTTGGGGTTTAGCAACATCGAGTTGACGGTTTCTCGGTTTCTCGGAGGGTCATCGTTGATCCCTTGGGTGCCAGGCTTGTGATCAGCCAGGGGAGGAGTGCGAGGTGCGGTGTTTTTTTTTTGATTTGATGGAAGTTTAGAACAGCGAAGATGTGAGGGTGTATAATGTATATATGGTCCCGTCCTCCGTCTCTCCACCCCCCCTCCCCCTCCCCAATGGGTTGGGTCCCCAGGTAGCACCCCCTTCCCTTCTATTTGCAAGCTATTGGCAGCATTTCTGAGGTCCAGCTTCGTTTTTGCTAGGTCTTTGCAGCATTTCTGACTACCAGCCTCGCATTTGCTAGGTACATGCTACCTTTTAGACGATCTACGTAGCACACATACTCCCTCAAAGTACCTACGTGCTACCTATAGTCATATATACATGTGCTATGTATCTACTTCCTATTTACTACCTGTGTACTCTCACAACACTACATGTGTTTAACATATACCATACCTATCATACATACCACACATACCATCCATATGAAACATAATTACCACACTTACCATACATACAATACCAAACATTCATGCCATACATACCATACCTACCTTGCATCGGAAACATTCCATACCCATCATAGTAACCATACATACCATACAGACCATACATACTGTCATATCAAACATACCATACCCAACAGACTTACATACCATACCTACCATCCATACAATACCAACCATTCATGCCATACATACCATACCTACCATACATACCAAACATACCATACTTTCCAAACATGCCATACCAGACCGACCATACACACCATACATACCCAACATACCATATCACACCCCCACCACACCACAGGGGGGGAAGGGAAACAGTACCACACCCCCACCACACCAAAGGGGGGTAGGGGGACAGTACCACACCCCCACCACACCACAGGGGGGGGAGGGGAACAGTGCCACACCCCCGCCACACCACAGGGGGGGGAGGGGGAAGATCTCATATGGGGGCAATATACGGGACCCATCCCATGGGGGGGAGGGGAGGTGGCAGGGCCTGGTGCATATATATAGTGTGTATCTATATATACATATATATAGTCATATTAGCTTAAAATTTGTTCAGAATAGGTATACTATACAAAGGGCGTCTCAGGATTGAGACGCGTGAACAGTGAACACAGTTCACACAGAGCGTCATTGAAGTGGGAGGTACCATCGCCACAGGGGATACAGGTCCACTTGGTTTCTCGCAGGCCCTTTCTTGCCTGCACCGGCAGGAAACTGACACCATCATTTTCACAATGTGGAAATCAATGAATATACAAATCTACAAGAAATATGGAAATTAGTGAGCACTCACACCGCCATTGTAAAATCATTACTGGTTGGTGGTCAACATGTTTTATTTTTCCATATGTTGGGAATTTCATGATCCCAATTGACGAACTCATATTTTCCAGAGGGGTAGGCATACTGCCAACCAGATTAACACAGAACCGGATGGCCAGGCATGGGACCAAGTAGCTTCCACGTGGCGTTATGCGTGGCTGCTTGCTGATTTGGCGCTGGGACATCGTATTCAATCTTGCTTACATCTAGATTATTGGATTGTGTTTGTCAAACCTGCTTGTTTGCATACGATGGAAATACATGTGGATTATATATATATAATTTGATTGTTGTATATCCAATAAGTAGTCTACGCGTTTAAATGCATGTGCTTATTTAATCTTATTACACATACGCAAAGAATATTTAGTGTATATAAACACATTCGGTTGCATATATACACGTGAACACACGTCGCCCGTGGTAACTTCCCAAAAAAAGTACTGGCCTGATTGTATTCACTCAACCATCAGCAAGCAACAAAAACTAGAGGATGTCGAGCAGCAAAGAAAGCGAGGGGTGCCCTTGACTCAAGAAATTAGTAATCGCCAAAAAAATGAACAGTCATTTACCACCATTTCAATGGGCATTTATGGTTCTATTTTTTTGGGGGTTGCTAATGCAAGTTGCAACAATGGAATATAGCACAAGGATGTACCGTTGGTGGATCAGCCCTTTTGGGATGGACGCCAGTGCTCTCGATTCCCAAAAGCCCTCTTGGGTATAATGATTACAGGCGGTTATACCACCCAATAAGATGGAATATTCATGGGTACTATCAGAATTTGTTAGGGGAATCCCTATCAACCAAGCAGTAGAATGGAATGACACATGGTCTTGAGCCCTGCTCACCATGCTGACATCAGGAACAACTTGCGGCTGAGTTTGCAGCACGCCACCGCGCAGCACCGTCTTCGGCTGGACCCTGGGGAGGTTCAACAGCTCGTGGCGGTGCACGAATTTATGCCATTCGGCTGAACTTCCACGTGCGAATCAACGGATCAGTTTAAGGATGTTTAAGCGAAAATCTGCAGTACACACCATTAGTGGTAAGTAAAAACTAAAACCTATGGTTTCCTGTAGGTCTTCCCTTAAACCCAATGACAGCTTCACGGCCTCCGTTGGAGGCAATTCATCGAAACATGGTGAAGTCCCAATGCATGTTGTGCAAAGGACTGACCAAGGCATGTCCCCCGTGCGTGGTGAAACCTGGCCATTCCCCGAGGTATTGGCTCGGGAAGGCTGGGCCGGTGGTCTTTTGTGGGCAGGGAGAGGGGAGCCAGTTGGAAGTTGCAGCATGGACCAAATTGACTGAGTTTCCCAAGCAATAGGTGAAAATTCTTGGTACAGGACTGCCATTCTCCCAGATGTCCATACAGATACATGGTGAACACACGATTGACCAGCACCACATTTTTGGAGCCAAAAGTCGTTTGTTGATGGAGGATTTGCCACTAAGGTTGGATTACCACAGGTTGCATGTCCCAATATGTCCCAATCCCTTTTCTCCATTTCAGGGACCCCCATCCAAATCATTTGCGTTGCCCACATGTATTTAATTTCAATTCCATTCGTTGTTGCTTGTTGGATGTTATTTCACCTCCGAGACTCATTATCCACACACACACATTATGTATTGTATACATTTGTTTAAGTTGGAATTGTGTGAATTTCTCTTCTTTTTTTGATTCTTGTGCAGTCACATATGTATAAATATAGAAGCCTGGCTAGGGCAGGGTTACCTGATGGAGATGGAGAGACACACACAGATAAACACAGATATACATATATCGTAAACAAATGGAAACAGTATATACATAATATACATATATATATAAAGATACATACATGCATTACATTACATTACATTGCATTGCGTTGTATTCCATTGCATTACATACATGCACATATATATATATATATATTATATATGTAGTATATATATATATACATGCATACATACGTACGTACGTACATTCATACATAGATACATAGATACATAGATCGATAGATAGACAGATAGATAGATAGATAGACACATAGATACGTAGGTACGTAGATACGTAGATACGTAGATACGTAGATACGTAGATACGTAGATACGTAGATACGTACGTACATCCATCCATCCATCCATCCAGACAGACAGACAGACAGACTTGCAGACTTACAGACATACAGACATACACACATACATACTTACATTCTCACATATAATCACATATAATCACATACAATCACATATAATCACAAATAATCACAAATAATCACCTTTAATTACATATAATCATATAATATCATATATATATATATACATATATATATGCATATGGACCTGTATGCACACATCACTACACCCTCAGAGCTGTGTCCAGGACAAGCAGAAGTGGCAGGTGGGTTGGGATGAAATGAGTGGCTCAGCCCGAGCCTTGCTGCGAGCGTTGCAGCTGTGGCTGGTGCCTGGGGAGTATCAGTCCCTCGCTGTGACTGTGACCGCTGGGGAAGGAAATCAGTCACCCTGGTTGATGAGTTTTAAATGGGACTACTGTACATGATTTACATTGATTTACTGTAAATGATTTAACCATGAAACATATTAATGGAACAAATGGTGATATAGCATGATATAGTTGGTAAATGGTTGTTGCTTAGTTATTAGATGGGGCTTTTTCCATGATGTTTAGGGGTTGTAACCATGAAACAATCTGGTGATACAACTGATACATGATGGTTGGTTGACGATTACACGGGGTTATGCTATCCAAGATTGATTGGATATTTTTCACATTCATTCCATGAGCTGGGAAATCCGCTCAAAACCCACTGTCGTCCAATTATACTGGCTGGTTTGGAACCGATTTCCCAGCTCATGGACTGTGACAATCCCCAGATGCCTCGACATGTAAAGATATATGTATGAAATACATGGAAGTATGTGGAAGCATATGGTACACATGGCATTTCATAAAATGGATTTATGTTTTGGTGCTTGCTCTCTCTCTCTCTCTGTCTATCTCTCTCTACGTCTCTTCGTCTCTGATCTAAATATGATGTTCATATCTATATGCTTATGCGGATCGGCATGTAAAAGTCATGTAGACATATTGATTTTCTAATGGGAAATCTAGAGGATTCAGCATGACCAAGGCATTCAGCATGTGATCTCTTCATTTGACGTAAAACCAGGCAGGTCATCCAGTGGAGGGGTGAGCTGAGCTATGGGTATCCCAGATCTAATGGGGAGTGGCTACAGCATGCTACAGTAAAGGAGCTATGAATTGAGTTTCCCAACCACATGATAGTTATATAGTTTATGCTTTAAAAATGCCAATCACTTTTGAGACATGGCGGTTGGTCAACATGATGTGCCACCAAACCCTAGATTGTTTTTGGTTGACGTCCTGCATTGCTTATGTACTTTATGTACCATCAAATTGGGTGGATGGTTTCGTTCATACAAGAACGTGACAAGTCTTTTACATACATTGGGGGTGTTTTAGTACTCTACCTTGCCTCGCGTGAAAAAACTAGACGACGGATGGCCCGAGAGCGTAGAGGAGCAGAGTCTTCTGTTGTTAGTATGGAGACACGCTTTTTACACACAGGCTCTTTTACACACAGACGCTTTTACACACAGACGCTTTTACACACAGACGCTTTTTACACACAGGCGCTTTTACACGCAGACGCTTTTACACACAGACGCTTTTACACACAGAGGCTTTTACACACAGGCTCTTTTACACACAGAGACTTTTACACACAGAGACTTTTACACACAGGCTCTTTTACACATAGACGCTTTTACACACAGACGCTTTTACACACAGACGCTTTTACACACAGACGCTTTTACACACAGACGCTTTTACACTCAGACGCTTTGACACACAGACGCTTTTACACACAGACGCTTTTACACACAGACGCTTTTACACACAGACGCTTTTACACACAGACGCTTTTTACACACAGAGGCTTTTACACACAAACACTTTTACACAAACACTTTTACACAAACACTTTTACACACAGACGCTTTTACACACAGACGCTTTGACACACAGACGCTTTGACACACAGACGCTTTTACACACAGAGACTTTTACACACAGAAGCTTTTACACACAGAGACTTTTACACACAGAGACTTTGACACACAGACGCTTTTACACACAGACGCTTTTACACACAGACGCTTTTACACACAGACGCTTTTACACACAGACGCTTTTTACACAACAGGCGCTTTTACACACAGACAAGTCCGGCACAAGTAAAATCGCAATTTTATCTCAGTTTTTGCCGATCGACCCTCATTTCGTGCGAAAGGGTTGCTCCGGGGCAAGTCAAATCGCAATTTTACCTCAGTTTTTGCCGATCGACCCTCATTTCGTGCGAAAGGGTTGCTCCGGGGCAAGTCAAATCGCAATTTTACCTCAGTTTTTGCCGATCGACCCTCATTTCGTGCGAAAGGGTTGCTCCAGCACAAGTCAAATCGCAATTTTACCTCAGTTTTTGCCGATCGACCCTCATTTCGTGCGAAAGGGTTGCTCCGGGGCAAGTCAAATCGCAATTTTACCTCAGTTTTTGCCGATCGACCTTCATTTCGTGCGAAAGGGTTGCTCCGGGGCAAGTAAAATCGCAATTTTACCTCAGTTTTTGCCGATCGACCTTCATTTCGTGCGAAAGGGTTGCTCCGGCACAAGTCAAATCGCAATTTTACCTCAGTTTTTGCCGATCGACCCTCATTTCGTGCGAAAGGGTTGACGTTTCGTGACTCACCGCCGGTACCACCCTCGGCCTAAAGAGAGAAAGATAAAGAAGGCGAGAGAGAGAAAAAGGAGAGAGAAAGGAGAGAAGATGTGAAGGTGAGAAGATGTGAGAGAAGGTGTGAAGATGAGCAGATGTGAAGATGAGCAGATGTGAAGATGAGCAGATGTGAGAGAAGATGTGAAGATGAGCAGATGTGAAGATGAGCAGATGTGAGAGAAGATGTGAGAGAAGATGTGAAGATGAGCAGATGTGAAGATGAGCAGATGCGAGAGAAGAGAGAAGATGTGAAGATGTGAGAGATGTGAAGATGAGCAGATGTGAAGATGAGCAGATGTGAGAGAAGATGTGAGAGAAGATATGAAGATGAGCAGATGAGAGAAGATGTGAGAGAAGATGTGAGAGAAGATGTGAGAGAAGATATGAAGATGAGCAGATGTGAAGATGAGCAGATGTGAGAGAAGATGTGAAGATGAGCAGATGTGAAGATGAGAAGGTGTGAAGATGAGAAGATGAGATACAGACCCCCACTATTGGAAGAACCCTGCGCTCAGACGCTCTCGGGAAAAAATCCAGTCGAAGCCTTCACAAAGGTTGGGCACTCCGTTGATCATTCCTCGAGTGAATCACGGCTTGCACTTGCCCTTCGCCAGTCGATCTGTGTCTTGGTCCAGTCCGTGTGAGCTGGGAGATGCTGCGAGCTTCTGCAGGGGTTGAATAAAACTTGGAAGGCTTATCATCGGACTAGCCGTTTGAAACTGCGCAGTCCGCGCCAACACGGTAATATACGACCATGTTTTTGAAAACCTATCAACCTGCAAACCTTTGGTGTCACAAGATGTACAGGCCTAGCCTATAATCCTTCCAGTGAACCAAAAAGTGGATGGCGCTCCAAGTTGCCTATTAGGCGCACATGTCATTTTCATACCTTTGCCAATATGCTTAGATATATATATATAATATTTATATACTGTCTATATATGTGTATATATTATATATATAATTATATATATATGTATATGTGTGTAAACCCTTCTTACACAGGGCGTGGTATGAATATGCAGGGGGACTGTCTACACCACAGAAGTGACAACCCAACGAAGAGGCTTTTGTGGTGGTACTGAAATCAGTGAGGGCGCTCACTGACGTACCTGCATTTATAACGCTGTTGTCACCAATGTAACTAACAGGGGCTCTCCGCCTCAACTATTTGGATTTCACCTCGACCTCAACCGTTTGTATTTACCTTGGGCCTCTACCATGTCCATTTATATATTCTCAGATTTCAGGGACGTTTCGACCTCACCATTTTGGATTCAACCTTTGAACATTTAGAAATATTTTGTTCTCACAACCAACAATAAGTAGAACTCACCCCCAACATTAGCATGGGTGTTTGGCAGTGGGCAGCCTGATCTTCGCCCATTTGTTTCCAAGGTCCTGGTGCCCACCGACGGCGATGTGACGAGCTCGCGCATCAGTTTGTCGGATGGACGCTCGGGCAGGGCAGCGGGGGTTTCATGAGGTTTCCATAAATGCAGGATCCCAATAGCTGGATGGTGAAAAAAATGAAGAACACCATTAAAATCATTTAAAATCGATGATTTAGGGGCACAACCATTTTAGGAGAAAACACACTACCGTCTGGTAAATCAACAGTTCGACCCTGAAAATCGCCATTTGTTTGTGGACACCAATCTTTCATCCCCTATTTGGCAGGGTCTACGTTATTTTATTGAAGTGTAAATACACCATAGTATAATCGTTACTAGATTTTACTAGTACACCAAAGTACCCCTTCAAACTTGGATATTTCATGCTAATTTTTGAGGTACTTGCTGAAACATGTTTTGTTTGAAACATGCTATAACAAATATACACACACAAACTAGCTTGTTTGTTTCGACGGAGTATCCAAGATTGGCCATATAAACCAGTGGGTGAAAGTGCAGGTTTCCAGAGGTTTTTGATCGTGACGCGATTGATTTGCGCGGATGGTGTTTGATTTCTTCATGGGTTTCACAATGATACTACCAGTTGTGGAAGTTTCATTGTTGAATAATTCTGATGGATTCGGGAAAGTTTCTTTGTTTTCTGATCCAACTGGATCTAGAAGGCACCTTCCATGAACATGTATGTTTATGTATACATTACATTATATCAACACGTCACAAGAGTTAACTACAGATTTCATTGCAGAGTGTCACTTCACTGAGGACGGGAGCTGCCCCTGCTGGGGTTTAGCCTTGGAAGCATTTGGGTGTCTCAGCTCCACATTGCAGATTTCATGCCCTGAAAGTATGCTGGCCATGTACCTATGGAATTTGCCCAATGCCATAAACCATTGTTTTTTATTGAAAAATGTTTGGCATAGACCTCAAATAGATGATACATATACTGTACTATATATATATATATATAGTTATATACATATATAATCATATATATATATATATAGTGGTGGTTTCTTCGACAAGGTCTTCGCCCAGGACCCATGGAATGCCGAGGTCTGAGATGCGAAAAAACACTTCACATTCCCTATTTTTTTTGCGGGGAAAAGTACGGGAAATGCCCGGCACACATACAGATATATATATATATAATTACATATATATATATACACATAATGTACATTATATGTATTATGTTTGCCTATCTATTATGTATAATATATATATATACATATGTATGTATGATTTACCTGCATGTGAAAGTGAAAACATGTAAAACAAATAGAGTTTCCCTGTAGATTCTTTTCCCGAAATCGATTCATTGGCACATGGGTTCAGAATTGATCGGCAAGGTTCAGCATCTCCGGGGTTGACTTCCTGAGGCATTTCCCTACCAAGCGACCAAGGTGCAAGGGTCGTCCAAGCATTGGATGATGGGAGCATATGGGAACATATGGAAAACCAAGGAAATTTTGATAGAAAACCATTGAAAACCCATAGAAAACGTCGGAAAACCATGGAAAAATCAAAGAAAACCATCGAACACCTTGCATTTGATGGTCAAAACCATAGTTTCCAGTACTGTAGGTGTTCCTTTAAATGTCAAGCCACTGACATTGGGCCGCAAACAAGTTGGGTCTCGGCAGTTTCGCACCCCACTGGTTTCAAACCATTTCCTGTCTAGATTTTCCTTAACCAATCTGTTGGGAAAACGGGTTCCCACCACTTGCCCCGGTGCTAAGGGACCTGGGCAATGGTGATGGCCACCCAAAGTTTCACATGGATGTTTTCATGGTGGAACATTTGATGTCCCAATATGTTTCAATGCAAGAGGATTCTCTTGGAATCATAGATTCTTTTGGAGGTATTCTCCGGTCATCAAGCATGTTGATGGAAAATCAAGGAAAATCCACCATCCATAGATGATTTACCCGCTTTTCAGCTACATCCATTTATATTTGGGGATTCCCCATTGCCATATGGCTTGCCTCTGTCCAGTTTGATGATACCGATGGGGATCTCAGGTTTACCAGCAGATTCGCGCAGCGCTGAAATTGGGATATCGACGCTTGGTGTGTGGTGGCTTCAATCAGCCGGTGTCAGAGTTCTCTACGTAGCAAAAGTGTTCACCATCAAACTGGATGATTTTGGAAAGTTTTGGATGTTACTAATGTTACTAATAGGGTGAAGTAGTGAAGTAGTTATTTTTGAATTTTTTTGAATATATGTTGTTTATTTTTGTTTAATTCTGAAATGACTGTGTGGTCTCTTTCGCAATTTGGTGATATTTGCTGCCCCATATTGGCTTTCCCATCGTGAAAGGGGCCCTCTTTAGATCATCTCAATAGCCCATGGTGCGCGGTTGGTACGGAACATGATTTGAAACATATTGTTCAACATTAAATCTAACCAATTTATGCAAGTTTCATATAAATTAGATAACTTTTTTGGGGCCCCAATCTTAGGCCACCACCATGAATTCAGTATATTCAATATTTGATAGAATTTCTCAGGCATTTTAAAGCCCCAAGGCCCCAAAGAATTGAAGCTTGACAACTAGTGTGTGGTCATTTGATTTATTGATTTTTTGAGACTGGAACCTGGAACGCAAAGAAAAAGGGTGAATTCAGCTGAAAAGGGCTCAACTGATGGCTTTCCAGTGGTTTGCAGTAATTAGGTGGGCAAACCTTGCGTTGAATTGTTGATTAGACTAGATTGGTGGATTCATGTTTATCTATACAAATGGAAGAACATCATTTGCCGAATGTCAGACGGAAGATCGTTTGGATTTGTGGCGTGACGATGATCGGGCATTCAGCCATGTACTAAGACCTTCCCCGCAAACAACAGTAGCCCCAAAAAGCCTTGAGGTCGCATACTTGGTGGAGTTGCTTACTACTGCAGAAGGGGATGGAACTCCCATCTATGTTTGATATTGACAACACAGATGTTTTTTTATCTTTATAGAATGGGCTAGCGCCCTGGTGCCGCCGACCCCCCTATTGGGAATGTGGCCAGTGATGTCAAGACAGGGCAAATAAACCATCGAACGGTCTGTGGGAACCAGTTTTCTGTGAGGGACGGCGTTGTGAAGGAGAAAGCGTATGTTTACATTTGCCCCGCTTGCAAAGGGAATGTGGCCAGTGACGTGAAGACAGGGCAAGTAGACCATCGAAGCGTCTGTGGGAAGCAGTTTTCTGTCAAGGACGGCGTTGTCAAAGAGAAAGGTGGTAAACGGCAAGCTGGAACGCCGAGAAGAAGCTATTGATCTGGCTTTGGGGTATCATTTGAATTGTGTAAATGCTGGCAAACGGCAACCTTGGACGCCTAAGAGAATTGATGTGTGGCTTTGGGGTGATGAGTCACCGTTTTAAGGGTTTTAAGCGTTTTAAGTTGTAAGCGTGGTCAATGATTTGAACTGCTACTACAGGAATGCGGGAACGGCTGCTTTGGGCTTGAAAGACAAAACCTTCAGACAAAACCTTCCGGAGTAAAACTTACTTGCCCAAAGCATGTAATTTTCATGTCCAAATGCCTGGAAGTCTTAACTGGAGGACGAAGCATGCCAGGAAAATGTTTACGCGATGTGGCCTTGCGCCGGCTGGCTGGCTGCGAGATGGGTTGGACCTAGGAAAGCGAAGAAGGAGCCTTGAAAGACAAAACCTTCAGACAAAACCTTCCGGAGGAAAACTTACTTGCCCAAAGCATGTAATTTTCATGTCCAAATGCCTGGAAGTCTTAACTGGAGGACGAAGCATGTAATTTTCATGTCCAAATGCCTGGAAGTCTTAACTGGAGGACGAAGCATACCAGGAAAATGTTTACGCGAGGTGCCGGTTGGCTGCAGGATGAAGCATGCCAAGGGATTGTTTAAGGGGCCCATAAGAAGCCATTGATGTGTGGCCTCGGGGTGGCTGTTGACTGCAGGATGAAGCATGCCAAGGCAGCGTTTTAAGGGTTTTAAGGTTTTTAAGGGTTTGGAGGGTTTGGAGGGTTTTAAGGGTTGAAGGGCTGGCAAACGGCAGGCTTGGACGCCCATAAGAAGCCATTGATGTGTGGCCTTGGGGTGCCTGTTGGCTGCAGGATGAAGCATGCCAAGGGATTGTTTAAGCGGCCCAGAAGAAGCCATTGAGGGCTGGGGCAAACGGCAGGCTTGGACGCCCATAAGAAGCCATTGATGTGTGGCCTTGGGGTGCCTGTTGGCTGCAGGATGAAGCATGCCAAGGGATTGTTTAAGCGGCCCATAAGAAGCCATTGATGTGTGGCCTTGGGGTGCCTGTTCATTCCAAGTCAGCGTTTGAAGGGTTTTAAGGTTTTTAAGGGTTTGGAGGGTTTGGAGGGTTTAAGGGCTGGCAAACGGCAGGCTTGGACGCCCATAAGAAGCCATTGATGTGTGGCCTTGGGGTGCCTGTTGGCTGCAGGATGAAGCATGCCAAGGGATTGTTTAAGCAGGATGGCCCATTTAAGCGGCCCAGAAGAAGCCATTGATGTGTGGCCTCGGGGTGGCTGTTGGCTGCAGGATGAAGCATGCCAAGTCAGCGGTTAAGGTTTTAAGGTTTTTAAGGGTTTGGAGGGTTTGGAGCGTTTGGAGGGTTTGGAGGGTTTTAAGGGTTTAAGGGCTGGCAAACGGCAGGCTTGGACGCCCATAAGAAGCCATTGATGTGTGGCCTTGGGGTGCCTGTTGGCTGCAGGATGAAGCATGCCAAGGGATTGTTTAAGCGGCCCAGAAGAAGCCATTGATGTGTGGCCTCGGGGTGGCTGTTGGCTGCAGGATGAAGCATGCCAAGTCAGCGTTTTAATGTTTTTAAGGGTTTGGAGGGTTTGGAGCGTTTGGAGGGTTTGGAGGGTTTTAAGGGTTTAAGGGCTGGCAAACGGCAGGCTTGGACGCCCATAAGAAGCCATTGATGTGTGGCCTTGGGGTGCCTGTTGGCTGCAGGATGAAGCATGCCAAGCGATTGTTTAAGCGGCCCAGAAGAAGCCATTGATGTGTGGCCTTGGGGTGCCTGTTCATTCCAAGTCAGCGTTTGAAGGGTTTTAAGGTTTTTAAGGGTTTGGAGGGTTTGGAGGGTTTTAAGGGTTTAAGGGCTGGCAAACGGCAGGCTTGGACGCCCATAAGAAGCCATTGATGTGTGGCCTTGGGGTGCCTGTTGGCTGCAGGATGAAGCATGCCAAGGGATTGTGTAAGCGGCCCAGAAGAAGCCATTGATGTGTGGCCTCGGGGTGGCTGTTGGCTGCAGGATGAAGCATGCCAAGTCAGCGTTTTAAGGGTTTTAAAATTTTTAAGGGTTTGGAGGGTTTGGAGGGTTTTAAGGGTTTAAGGGCTGGCAAACGGCAGGCTTGGACGCCCATAAGAAGCCATTAATGTGTGGCCTTGGGGTGCCTGTCGGCTGCAGGATGAAGCATGCCAAGGGATTGTTTAAGCGGCCCATAAGAAGCGATTGATGTGTGGCCTTGGGGTGCCTGTGCATGCCAGGAAAATGTTTACGCGATGTGGCCTTGGGGCAGCTTGCTGGTTGTTTAAGCGGCCCATAAGAAGCCATTGATGTGTGGCCTCGGGGTGGCTGTTGACTGCAGGATGAAGCATGCCAAGGCAGCGTTTTAAGGGTTTTAAGGTTTTTAAGGGTTTGGAGGGTTTGGGGGGTTTTAAGGGTTTAAGGGCTGGCAAACGGCAGGCTTGGACGCCCATAAGAAGCCATTGATGTGTGGCCTTGGGGTGCCTGTTGGCTGCAGGATGAAGCATGCCAAGGGATTGTTTAAGCGGCCCAGAAGAAGCCATTGATGTGTGGCCTCGGGGTGGTTGTTGGCTGCAGGATGAAGCATGCCAAGTCAGCGTTTTAAGGTTTTTAAGGGTTTGGAGGGTTTGGAGCGTTTGGAGGGTTTTAAAGGTTTAAGGGCTGGCAAACGGCAGGCTTGGACGCCCATAAGAAGCCATTGATGTGTGGCCTTGGGGTGCCTGTTGGCTGCAGGATGAAGCATGCCAAGGGATTGTTTAAGCGGCCCAGAAGAAGCCATTGATGTGTGGCCTCGGGGTGGCTGTTGGCTGCAGGATGAAGCATGCCAAGTCAGCGTTTTAAGGTTTTAAGGGTTTGGAGGGTTTGGAGGGTTTGGAGGGTTTTAAGGGTTTAAGGGCTGGCAAACGGCAGGCTTGGCCATTGCAGGTGTGCCTTGGGTGCCTGTTTTGCTTGCAGGATGAAGGCAGGCAAGGATTGTTTAAGCGGCCCAAAGGAAGCCATTGATTGTGGCCTCGGGGTGGCTGTTTGGCTGCAGGGATGAAGCATGCCAATCAGCGTTTTAAAGGGTTTTAAGGTTTTTAAGGTTTGGCGTTTGGAGGGTTTTTAAGGGTTTAAGGGCTGGCAAACGGCAGGCTTGGACGCCCATAAGAAGCCATTGATGTGTGGCCTTGGGGTGCCTGTTGTCTGCAGGATGAAGCACGCCAAGGGATTGTTTAAGCGACCCATAAGAAGCCATTGATGTGTGGGCTTGGGGTGCCTGTTCATGCCAAGTCAGCGTTTTAAGGGTTTTAAGGTTTTTGAGGGTTTGGAGGGTTTGGAGGGTTTTAAGGGTTGAAGGGCTGGCAAACGGCAGGCTTGGACGCCCATAAGAAGCCATTGATGTGTGGCCTTGGGGTGCCTGTTGGCTGCAGGATGAAGCATGCCAAGGGATTGTTTAAGCGGCCCATAAGAAGCCATTGATGTGTGGCCTTGGGGTGGCTGTTGGCTGCAGGATGAAGCATGCCAAGTCAGCGTTTTAAGGGTTTTAACGTTTTTAAGGGTTTTAATGGTTTGAAGGGTTTTAAGGGTTTAAAGGCTCGCAAACGGCAGGCTTGGACGCCCATAAGAAGCCATTGATGTGTAGCCTTGGGGTGCCTGTTGGCTGCAGGATGAAGCATGCCAAGGGATTGTTTAAGCGGCCCATGAGAAGCCATTGATGTGTGGCCTTGGGGGTGGCTGTTGGCTGCAGGATGAAGCATACCAAGTAAGCGTTTTAAGGACTTTAAGGTTTTTAAGGGTTTTAAGCGTTTGAAGGGTTTTAAGGGTTTAAGGGCTGGCAAACGGCAGGCTTGGACGCCCAGAAGAAGCCATTGATGTGTGGCCTTGGGGTGCCTGTTGGCTGCAGGATGAAGCATGCCAAGGGATTGTTTAAGCGGCCCATAAGAAGCCACTGATGTGTGGCCTTGGGGTGCCTGTTCATGCCAAGTCAGCGTTTGAAGGGTTTTAAGGTTTTTAAGGGTTTGGAGGGTTTGGAGGGTTTTAAGGGTTGAAGGGCTGGCAAACGGCAGGCTTGGCCGCCCATAAGAAGCCATTGATGTGTGGCCTTGGGGTGCCTGTTGGCTGCAGGATGAAGCATGCCAAGGGATTGTTTAAGCGGCCCAGAAGAAGCCATTGATGTGTGGCCTCGGGGTGGCTGTTGGCTGCAGGATGAAGCATGCCAAGTCAGCGTTTTAAGGGTTTTAAGGTTTTTAAGCGTTTGAAGGGTTTGGAGGGTTTGGAGGGTTTTAAGGGTTTAAGGGCTGGCAAACGGCAGGCTTGGACGCCCATAAGAAGCCATTGATGTGTGGCCTTGGGGTGCCTGTTGGCTGCAGGATGAAGCATGCCAAGGGATTGTTTAAGCGGCCCATAAGAAGCCATTGATGTGTGGCCTTGGGGTGCCTGTGCATGCCAGGAAAATGTTTACGCGATGTGGCCTTGGGGCAGCTTGCTGGCTGCGAGATGGGTTTGACCTTGGAAAGCGAAGAAGGAGAAGTTCCACACCTGCGGTGGTCCCAGGCGCCGCCCCTGCCTTGGCCAAGGCCGGGGTCGGCGGATAATAAGCCCATATAAGTTGGTTACAGCAACCCTCATCTAGATTTGGCAGCGTGTTGTAAGGCATGTATTTGGCTTGTGTTGTTTGAACACCATGTTTGTAGTTTAACCAAGTTTGCCTACCCTCTGGTAAACTCACATAGCTATGGAAAATCAGAAAATTTGAATATGTAAATCAACTATAAATAGCCACTATCAATAGCTATGTTAAATTACCAGAGGGTAATAGTGTCAAGTCCGGATTCCAAAAACAGCTCCAGGACACCTAGACCTGTCGGAGCACTATGGCAGTGAGAAGGAGGTCCATAGGGCTATTGAAGATGCAGGCGAAGCAATGGGCCGAGTAATGTGCAATATATATAATTATATATATATACATACAAACTGTATATACTATAATACAGTGCATATATGTATGTATAATATATATAATAATATTATACATGATATCATGATATCATATACTATGCCTTTAATGTAGCATTCTATCATATAATATAATGCAATCTAATGTAATTGTTTAACACATAATGTAATATAAATATACTCTAGTATGTAATATAATTCAATTTAATATATAATATATATAATATAACATAATTCAATTTTATATAATATAGTAATATATTATAATATAATCTAATTTAACATAATTTAATATAATATATATATATAAAACATTACATACATATTTTAATACACAGTATATATATAATATTACATATATATAACATAATATCTATATATATATATATGTGTGTGTGTGTGTCTGTGTGTGTATCCATATAGAGCACAAAACCGGGGATGCAAAACCATCAAACCGCATGATGTTTTCCAAACAATATGGGGATGATGGCTGGTTAACCATCAAACGTGGGGACTGCACCAATCAACTCCTCAGTGCACTCCCATTTTGCAAATATCCAACTACACTCGGGAGGGTTGCCAATATCAGCATTATTCAAGTATCCAGCAGAGAGGGATTTACAAAGAAGATACGGATGTAACCCACCCAAGCTGCTTGTGCTGGGCCTAGCTTCTACCTTTGGGACTCCTCTTGCTGGTCGCGAGGTGGGTTTCCATAAGATTATCCAACTTTTTGCATGAACTCACCATTGAGTGATTTCAGTGATCAAGACTTCCCAAAAAAAACCACCCAGCAACTGACCTCAGCTGATCTCAGCTCTCAGGCATTCCCAGGGAGGAGATCTTCTTGGCTGGAAAGCTGGGCAAAGCTGATCACTATCCACTGGGTGCCCTGCGTGCCGTTCAGCAGTACCTTGGGCATCGAAGCAGAACGCTGACCGTTTAAACGGTGACCATGTGTCCTTGCACGTAACATTTACTGTACACACACACACACATATATATATATATATGTGTGTTATGTGTTTCATATGACACACTATGTGTATATGTGTTACATCACATGCTATATGTGTAACGTGTAACGTGTATAATTGATTCTATTTGTGTATATATATATGTAAGTGCAGTTGCCTACATGCGAAGCTATACCAACATATATGTTGCAGATTGATTTGGGATGCCGTCAAGCATTGCAATGTCATTACCCGCCGGTAAATGGGAAAATCACTGGGGGATGTTCAATTGCCTTGTTTGATGACCGGAGGGTAAGGCGTTTTCAATAGATCTACTCACACTGTGTATTGACCCGAGGGGAGAAAAAGATAGATGTTGGTATTCCTATGATAGGCTCGTGAGGCAAAGTCTTGGAAGTCAACTGGGTTTGTTTGAAAGTAGAGTACCCAAAAAGATCCATGGTTGATCACCATTTTGCCATTAACATGGCGATGCATTGGAACTAAATTCACCAATTCCTGGTCCCACACCCAGGCAAATGAAACATTTTGATCTGGAATACCTGGACCTGTTCCTGCTAACCAAGCCCATCTATGACGCCAAAGTGCTGCGTTCAGCCGCTCGGCTAAACTTTTCTGCCTGAAAGATGGGCTGAACACGCCCAAGAACTTGGACTTGCTAAAGGTGATGTCATATCTCCCCAGGGATAATCTATGATAATCTACTATTTGAGGAATCTATACTGAGATTTGTTTGGGGCTTGAGCTCCAAGAATGAAACACAAACCCACTGCATTGCGGAATGGCCGACGAGGCCCCAATTCTTCATGCTGGGTGAGTTGATCAACATTTTATCAACCATAAACCATCATAAACCCAGCTGAATGACAGGGAAATCAGGATCCAAGCGGAAACTCTCCACGGAAATCAGAGAACCAAGATCAGGTCTGGGAGATCTTGGAAAGCTACCAGAAGCGCGGAATCTTTCGCTCACTGGGAGTCTGCAACTTTGATATCACATCCCTTCAACTTCTGGAGCAGGCGGCGACGCAACAGACACAGACCTTGCTGGGAATCAGCTGGGGGAGAACCTTCGTTTTTTCTCCTCGCGGAATTGCAAAGAGTCAAAAATTATCAAAGATTGACCTATGAAAACCATATGGCCATGAAAAAAATTAAAAAAAGAATCCATTGTGTGTTCTATTTTCAGAGCTCACAGCTCTAGCAGTCGGTTCAGCATGGATGCCAGGTGGCAAAGATTCCACCGGTGTATGTGCAGAGCAGGCAACGGGCCATGTGCTAAGGGGGATGCCGGGCCGGCCTTACGCCCCGCTCTGATTGTCAATAAGTCATTCTACTGTACACAATGTAATCTTATGAAAGTTCATTTGATTTCATTTGCATATATATATATGTATATAACTATATATATATATGTATTGTGGTGGCCCCTGATATCTATCCATGTTTTCTTTATTTATATGTTTGTTGACACCGTACCTCCTTTCTATATTGTCTATGATTGTTTGTTTGAAGTTCCATCTCTGCCGGTCATACTGGCAAGGTCATCCTGCACACCCTAATCACCTTGGTGATACACATGTCATACGTTTGTCCGGATTCATGCTGCCGGGCTTATTCACCTTCCTATCATCACCGTGTTTCTTGGTTCCCATGATGAGTCCTATTGCATATTGGAGGTGAAATCACATTGTTTTTGTTTTTGTTGGTTTACTGTATTTGAATGTACGCACACATATGATATTTGTATATATATATATATACATATACATATACATATATATATATTAATATACGTATATATAGTATCCTAAGTTAGGTTGATAAACTCCCAAAGTTTGCCTTTGGTGAAATCGGCTTCTGGACCTCCAGGTTTTCGATCTACGATTTGGACCTCGAAGGCTTCCCTGTCCTCCGCTGGGCACGGCCCCGGGGTATCGCTGTGGCAGCGCGCATGGAGCGGGGCGGCTACCTGTTGCTTGGCCAAGGCAACATGTCTCTGTGGACTCGGAAGATCAAACACTCCCAATATGTTGGTAAAGATTGGTAAAGCAATAATGGACCAATACTATATATGATTATATATATATATATATATGTATAGAGATATTATAAGATACTATATATATAAACATCATCCCCCAGTTTATCATGAATTACTAACATTCGTGCGGTTGTCCAACAAAAGTGGACGACAGGTTTTTCAGGGATACAGGCCACATGGCCTGAATGAGTTGGACATGTCGAAATTTACGAAATGTGGTGGAATCATATTAGCAGAATAGTGAAGCAATCATCAACCCATCTTTCGATAAATTCTGGAATAGTTTACTATTGCTTGACTAATATTCATCGATATATACTGCATGATTGAGATAGCTGTCATATAATATCACCTTTCCGGGAGATCCCTGGAGTCCCCCCGAAAAAATCCAAAAAACGCCGCGTCGCCTGTGAGGCTACCCGCTGAGGACGTGCGGCCGATTTCAGCTGTGACACAGAGATAGTCAGGAAACGTCATGAAATCATGAAAGACGCTGAAGAAATTGAGATATATACATTATATACAATTATACATAACAATATAATTATTCCCCACCTGCCAGGTGAGGGTTGTTAGATTTTATGTCAGTTGCCTCCTCCTCCTCCTGCTCCTCCTCCTGCTCCTCCTCCTGCTCCTCCTCCTCCTCTCCTCCTCCTCGTCCTCCTCGTCGTCCTCGTCGTCCTCGTCGTCCTTGCTCAACTGCGACCCGCGATCCACAGTGTTCGCTGCCGGACCTCAACCACGACCATCCACGCCCAGTGTTCGCTGCCGGACCTCAACCACGACCATCCACGCCCAGTGTTCCCTGCCGGACCTCAACCACGACCATCCGCGCCCAGTGTTTCCTGCCGGACCTCAACCACGACCATCCGCGCCCAGTGTTCCCTGCCGGACCTCAACCACGACCATCCGCGCCCAGTGTTCCCTGCCGGACCTCAACCGCGACCATCCACGCCCAGTGTTCCCTGCCGGACCTCAACCGCGAGTATCCCCGCCAAGTGTTCCCTGCCGGACCTCATGTAGGAAGATATGGGACAAAGAATGTGCAGAAGAAAATTAGAAAGAATGTCAGAAGATATGCCAGATAGAATGCCAGATAAAATGCCAGAAGATATGTCAGAATATATGCCAGAAGATATGCCAGATAGAATGCCAGATAGAATGCCAGAAGATATATCAGATAGAATACCAGAAGATATGCCAGATAGAATGCATCAGATTTGCCAGATAGAATGCCAGAAGATATGCCAGAAGATGTGCCAGAAGATATGCCAGATAGAATACCAGAAGATATGCCAGATAGAATGCCAGAAGATTTGCCAGATAGAATGCCAGATAGAATGCCAGAGATATGTCAGAATATATGCCAGAACATATGCCAGAAGATATGCCAGATAGAATGCCAGATAGAATGCCAGAAGATATATCAGAATATATGCCAGAAGATATGCCAGATAGAATGCCAGATAGAATGCCAGAAGATATGTCAGATAGAATGCCAGAAGATATGCCAGATAGAATGCATCAGATTTGCCAGATAGAATGCCAGAAGATTTGCCAGATAGAATGCCACAAGAAAATGCCAGAAGATATGCCAGATAGAATGCCAGAAAGATTTGCCAGATAGAATGCCACAAGAAAATGCCAGAAGATATGCCAGATAGAATGCCAGATAGAATGCCAGAAGATATGTCAGATAGAATGCCAGAAGATTTGCCAGTAAGAAAATCTATAAATGTCATGGTGGGGATCACACGAAGTAAAGTAATTTTTTTAAACCATCATACAGCACAATATAGATGCGCATATATATATATATATGTATGTATACACACATATATATATATAATTACATAGGTATGCTCAATGTTGGGCACTGATCCGCCCACAATAACAAATAGTAACTTAGATACTTAGACATCAACATTTATTGGAAGATTGGTTCTAATCCCATCCCCCTTTCATATTAAACACCTACTTTCTGTGGTCCGAAATATGTGGTTTATTGCCTACTAAACAATGGTTCATGAGGGGTGTTTAATGTTAGGGAGATGGGATTATATATGGTGGGTACAAAGGAGTTTAGCCAACCAAACACTAGATGATATAATCTTCAAACATGGGGCTGACACTTGCATTGAATAAATACGGAATCGCCCCATCCCCACTCAAAAGGGACGGGTTTATCATGTGAATAGTAAATAGGAAGCGTGAATGGTTTAGCTGTGGTTATTACTTAGGTAAAAGGGTAGATAGTTTGTAACCAAACCCTTCCCACTGATCCGAAATAGCTTTACACGTACCCCCAAAATGAACAAACACCCCATGCTAAAGCAGGTTTTCGTTTGGGGAGCATTGGATGATTGGGGTGCTCGGGTTTCATCGTTTTCTTTGTTTAATGGTTTAGAGATGATAAAGGTTGATTGTTTCAATGAAGCATGTCCAGTCATATCTTGCTTGTGCATATGACATCATATGATGTTGCGATTTATATATAGTGCAATTTCTTTCGCTGGGGTGCATGCCAGAAATCGTCGCTTGGATCAATCCATAGTAGGTGCATCAGTCCATGAGAATAGATATCACTAGTTTGAGCATGAGTCAAGATTGGGGTGCCCCAAAAAAATGCACGGTCATCCTGGTTGATCCTGCAGGACCCTCATGTGGTAAGCATCGCCAAGTGCCTTGGAACCCAAGAAGTACATGGTTTTTCCAAAGCCATCAAGGCAGATTCACACATTTGTGGTTGCATACTCTTGCATGTGAGTATGAAACTATGACATTATATATATATATATACATACACACGTGTATATACGTGTGTGTGTGTGTGCGTGCGTGTACTGTTATAATTATACACTGTCTTATATGTAATATATCTTGTCCATCTCTCTATATGCACACACATATATAATTATATATAATTAATATGACATGTTTGCTGATTTTGCTGTAACTGTACATGTCATGAATGCAGATAGAAAATAGACAGCCCAGTCCTTAGTTGTGGCTCCTTTTGTTTGGGAGAGAGAACATAGATACCTTTTTTCTCCCAAGGGTGGCCCGGCGACCTCAGGAAGTTGAAGCGGAATCCTGGCGAAGTGCTGTCACGATGGTTGCTGCAGCTGGGAATGGCCGTCGTGGTCAGTGACCCCGAGGTCCCAGCAGCAGAGCGTTAAAACAAATTGGTGATTGGTAGATTCTCTCTCTCTCTCTTTATATATATATATAAATTCACAATATTATGTATATACATATGTATATATATATATATCAGTATGTGCATGAGACACACACATATAATACATATATATATAATATACACTATATATATTTAATTATTTATGTATTTACGTTTGTTTTGATATGTATGTAGAACAGCAATGTCAACCTAATGTGGCGGCTGATTTCAAATAGTTCTTGCGATCCATGACGAAACATGGGAACACCGACTCACGCGTCAAGTGGTGGCCATCACAAAACGCGTCAAAGAAGCACTGGAAGTAGATCAGTTGAACATGTTGTTACACTTCTTTCATGGTCATTAATGACCATAAATTATATATGATTATAAGTGTATATATATATAAATAGTATATGTCTATATTGAATCAATATATTGGATGTCATTTGAACATAGGGTCTCGTCAATTTCTTTGCTGCTAACTCGTTGCCTGGCCCAGCCGCGCCAGGAGCAGCGAGGGGCCTTAGATTTTCAACTCCAAGAGGTTGGGCTGTGATCACCAGTTGCGACATCCCCAGTTGATAGGTGGTAAACATATGTCAACATCCCATTTTTTGGTAGAATCGTCCCATATCATCCCATGATTCTTGTGTTTCAACATGTTTCAGCCATCCTTTTCGAATTTTCGTGGCAAACGTTCCCGGATCGTATGGGCAATTCTGATGTGTATTATGATCGGATTCACCACCAGATGCAACCGGCTCACCGGCACGCTCAATGATCCAGTTCACACATGATGTTTTTATGCTAATATTTGGCCAATCCCCGATTTCGGTCCATTTTGGACCAGCCAAATTTTCATATATCATCAATACTTTCCAGCTAGATTTGCGGGAAAGCCATGGAAAATGCAACCATAAGACGATAGACACCCTTTCCGTTTTGTGTTTGTAAACCAATGAATGTTAATATATCATTTAGATTCATTTAGTCGTTTCGACAAGAAGACACTATTTTCATATGTTCAAGCTGCCCATTGCTGGACAGATTCCAGGGATGAACTATGACATTTACCAGCAACATTTTGCTGTTCACCAAGATGGCCTTGAACCAAAATACAAATTTTTGCGTGCGGGGCTCAAAGACCTTCATTTCGGTTGGAAAAAAAAATCATGTTTGCCAAGTTTGCCGGGAAAAACTTATTTTCTTTGTTTGCCAAACCGATTCAAGACCCATTCCTGTTGGAAAACGCATGATTCATCATGATTCATGGATTCATTGGTTCACTCATCCAGTCATTAAAAAACGGGTGCTCTGCAGGAGGAGATGCGGCTCTTGAACGGCCTGGTCACCTTAAGCAGCTCCGTCCCGGGCATCCCTGGCCCCGGCTTCGCGGAAGATGTCTACGGGCTCAGGCGCTTCGACCGCTTCGACCATCCGGCGAAAGAAGCGCAAGCCGCGGGTGGCTGGGCTGCGAAGAAATGGATTAAACCATTGTATATATTTGTATATTATTAATATGCGGATAATAGTAGATATATAACCATAGTCTATATAATCTATAATGCATAGTATATCATATCATATCCCAGTTATGTACATGGGCTATAAACTACGGATGCTAACTGGGATGCACATCCAAGTAGATTAGTTGAATGGTTGGCCCCATATATTGGCCACTCCTTTCCCCACTGAGGCGACTTTCCAGATGGCTTCTCAAAGCCCTTCGCCTTCCCCGCGCGAGCCAAAAAGTCGCCAGGAAATAACAAGGGTTGGGGTCAAGACCGGGGGAAGTGGTCTTTTTTCCTCCATCAAAGCCATAGACAAGATGTTTATCAGGGTTTATCAGGGTTTACCCGATATCCCATATGGATCCATATAGATTCAGCTAGCTAGCTAGGTAGATAGACTGACAGACAGACAGACAGACAGATAGATAGATAGATAGGTAGATATATATATATATATATATATGGATGGATGGATGGATGGATGGATAGATAGATAGATAGATAGATTTGTGTTCTAGGATGAATATAGGTTGTTCATTTCACGTTTTTACCCACTTACCAGCTTGGATGCCATCGCAGGTGCAATGCCCAGCAACAGCGGCGTGCGTTGCAGATGTCGTGGATTGGGTCTACTCTGAGTGGAGCCTTGAAGGATTTTGTTTGGGGCCTTGGGCATCTTGGAGGGGCTCTTGACCCATCGGGATGATCTATGAAATTCGATGCGTACCTTGATATCTTTGGTGTATATTTGAAACGAATAGACACCCGCGTTTTGGGCTGAACACCAAGGGCTGGTGAATAAAGGTGTTGGAAGGTCACTCTTGGTGCAAGGTGTTCTAACGTGTTGTTTCTTCAGCTGTTGGAAAAGCGGCAAGAGATCAGGATTGCCCGGGAAAAGGGGTCGGAAGATTTTGACACCCATTAATTTATCCTGAACACCCTGATTCCTGGTTGCAAGCATGGTGGCAATTAGCCTGGGGTGTTCTAGGGGCGTAACCAAGGGGGAAATGAAGATGCACATGCAGGTATACTTAGCCATATGGCCTTGGTCAAATTTTGGTTTCCTGGCACCACAATTAATAATTTTGGGCAGTGCACTTTGTCAAGTCTACTTTGTACCACCAATTGTTTTGAAGGACAACATTTCGCCGTGCCCATGAGCCGGTGCAAAAGGTCCCTCACCACCGGCCCTGGTTGTTGCAATGAGATGAAATGAATAAAACACACCAAGGGTCAAAGTCAAGGTCACGGACATATTCATTGTGAATTGTGTTTATGTATTTACTGTGGCTGCATTGACCCCGGATCCAAAAGCAGCTATAGCCTATTGCTGGAGATATTTGAGATAACTATGCCATACACGGATGGAATGTTTAAAGAAAGTGATCTCTCATGCGTTTGTGGGCCGGACGGTTTTCACCTCGGCACAAATTTCAAGTTGGTGTCCAATATGTTCGATGTCGCACACAGGGATCATTCTTGAGCCACTGCTACT